CTCCATGAGCTGTCTCCTGTACGTTGGTCTATGCTTTATAATCAGTTTATTCTGATCTTATTTGCCTGTTTTTCGTTTTTTTCCCCCCCGGTTACGTAACTCTGTGCTCCGTCCACGTCTGGCGCTCTCGTTGGCTTTTATTGGTTCAGATTTATTGTTTGTGAAGCGCTGGGGAACATTGTGCGCCTGGCAGCGGCCCAGTATAACCACAGGCCTCCAGTGCTGGCCGGAGAGCCTTCACTGGGGGTGCGGAGTCTTTGTGAGGAGCTTCTCCACGCCGCTCGGTGTCCCCCCCGCCACTGAAATAACTCCCTGATGTCACCGCTCCCATTTTAGTTTTAACCTCAGCACGATGGAACTCTTTCTCCGCTCCGTCCTGCAGCTGCTTTGATTCTGCTGCTGCGTCTTTTCTTTTTGTGTGAGAGAATAAGAAAGGCTGTTGTCGTCACCGTCCTGAGGGAACGGTAAAACATGTCAAAGCATCAGCAGCAGCAGCTTCAGCTTCAGCAGCAGCAGCAGCAGCACAACAACATCCTCTGCTATTGATTTCCAGCAGATGGAAGGGGAGCTTTAGTTAAATCGCAGCAGACTCAAAGTTGGCTCCGAGCTCTCGCAGATTTCTGGGTTTCAGCCCAATGTGGGGTTTTTTTTTTTTTTTTTAATCTTCTGGAAGACAGATATTAGGACCGATGTCTCTGAGCTGCTGCTCTGGTGGCTCTCCGGCTTTAGGTCTTGTGAGTTTTGGTACTCGGTGTTTCATCAGCGTTCGCATCTTGTAACGTCATCTTCTTAGCCCGTTTGTGTGCCAGAGTCCTGCTTTGGTTTTGTATTTCAGAAAGATGGCAGCCGCGTTCTTCCAGATGAAACAGGAAGCAGTCACATTAACTCTTGAAACTCCGGTCAGTTATTTTGCTTTTGCTGCATTTTTCCTCACTTTGGGCTCATTTTTCACTCATATAAAGTCCTGCACCTTTGTACACTATAAAAACTTATTCAACTGCAGTTTCTTGAACGTTTTACTGCAGATTATAATTTTTTTTGTTGTTGGTTAAATTACAGATAATAACGAGTAAAATCAAAGAAAAAACATGTTTGAATTTACGTGGTAATCCTGAAATAATGTTGACATCAAGAATCTGTATTTTTAGAAATGCTAATGTGTTCATAGTCCAATGTTTGGCTGTAAAGTTATGCTATTTATTACTGTATCAAATCAGGGAAATCAGGGAAAAAATACAGATAATTGAAAGAACAATTAAGTATATTTAGGACTGGAATTTTTTGTTGTTGTTTTTTTTAAATAAGTATTATTTTACAGATCTGTTTTGTTATATTACAAATAATACCTACTAAAATCACTAAAAACAATATTAATTTACATGCTGACTGTAAAAACAGGCCAAAACTGTACGTAATATCTGTATTTTTACAAATGGTAATACATTATTTTATTATACGTAATTGTGCAATTACACTTTCTTTACTGCGATAAGCAAAAACACATTAGTTTTACAAATATTTGCAGTTGTGTCGACGAATAAAAATGATTTTAATCACTGATGGCTTCTTGGTTTGCAGAGAGTCGTGCAGAGTTTTCAGTTCTTTATAGAATCTGGTTAATGCAGCTTGTTCATTTGCATTGAGGTTGTAAATGAGACATACAGAATGATTTTTAATGAAAAATAGGATTTGAAGCATCACGGATGAGTAGTTCAAGGACCATTTGAAAGCCCAGACTGCTGTCGCTGCTTCCTTGCAAATTCTGTTTGTTTTTTCTTTGCCTCAAGAAATATAAACTAAACTCTTAGCAGAATTTTATTTTATTTTTATTATATTTTTTATTTATTTTTTATTGGACTGAATGCAAACCTTTGTAAAATTTTCACACATTATTTTCTGTTGATAACCTAAAAACATTTCTAGTATCAGCAGCAGCTTTTAGAAACCTCTATCGGTCTTGCTTTCATTTTTTATTTTTTTTGTTTTCTCCTCCAGCAGCTGCAGATTTGCGAGTTATGAAGCGCAGCAGCTCGGCGATGAGAAAGGTCGCCGAGGTCGGCCGTGTTTGTGCTCGGATTCGGCCTCAGCTGGTGCGGCAGATGTTTTCCTTAAATTCTCTAAATCGCTTTTACACCTGCTCTTCCCGTTGGGGCGTGAAGTTTAAAAAAAAGCGAGTTTGGCTGTTGTGTTTCCACAATTAAAAGTTGGCCATTAATGAGCTGTAGGTGTGTCGCTGATGACAACAGGCTGATGTGATTGGAGCTGGTAATCGGTTTACAGCTTGGCAGCAGCCTCACTCACACGACAGTTTGTTCCTGCCTCCGGCCAGTAGGAGGCGCCGTTACATGTCGAATCCGCTCCTGCTGCGTTTGGCTGGGGAATCCATCAGGTTCCCCAGAGCGGCAGCACAAGTTGTGTCAGTTAAGTAGGTTTGAATCTGCACAGAACGGGGAAGTCCCGGTGCTTTACCGGCACGGACGTGGTTTGTTTTGGTGCAGTACAGTTAAATAACACGCATGGGACTGCAGGTCGTTGTGTTTAGGAGGCTGAACGGAGGTTTTTACTGCTTTTGTTGTAATTGTTTGGTACAAGTAATGAGCTGAATAATTTTAACCGTCTGTAATTTTCAAACAAAATAACCATCTAGGATCTTTTCTCTATTTAAAAGGTCGTAGGATTAAACAGTTCTGCAATAATAATAACCAGCAGGAGAAATGGTAATTGTAATATTTAGTTAGCCGGTCTTAAAAACAGTTATTCCATCATGATATTTTACTCTGCTACAAGCTAAAGTCTCATTAAAGCATTAAAAGTAAAGAGCGTTGCATTAATTATTAGATTGTTCTTATTCATCTTTAATGCATTTGGCTTGTAAGCCTCGGTTTAAACGTGTCACTAATCAGGCTTTAAGCACCACTCTACATATTTTTGGGTCGTTTTTGGATTGTGTTGTGTTTTACATGTAAATATAATGAAAGCATTCACTCAGACTCTTTAGTAAATGAGTGCAAAATGAAGCAACAAGCACAATGATTCCCTCTGAGATTCAGCAGAGTTGTATAAATTAGAGGTATGAATTAGCATGAAATGGAAACACTCGTGTAAAGCAGGACGGCCGAGCTGCAGCAGTTGTTTTAAATCTGGATGTGAATGTGTGATTGGAGCAGACAGCCAACTGTACATCAGTGTGTTTTCTTTTCCCATCTGTCCTGCTGCCATAGTGAGCAGAAACAACACACTGCCATCATTTCCCCAAAGGCATGAGGTAAGACTGGAGGAGTCAGCGCTGCCTTCAGGGACGCCTCGTAATCCTCCACTCCAGTGAGTAGGCGCTGGAGATGCTAGCTCTGCCATGCAGTGTAGTCTGAGGTAGAACAACACAGACAAAGGGTTGGTGATTATAGGCGTTTAATATCATGGTGTTCATGGATGGACACAGAAAATAATATCCACATTAACAGTTTAAGGGTTTTATTAATACAAAAGAGAACTGTGTTGTCAGGGAAACCATAAATTATTGGTAGATTTATGCTTCACCATCACGATGTTCATTCTAAAACAGTTTATGGATTATAAATTAACTAAGCTAATCAATGACATTTATTATTCATAATTCATATTATTAGTCAGGATAAGATAAGATGTTTAACACTGTATTAAAACAGAAAAACAGTAACAAAAAATAAATAAATAAAGGAATAAATAAATTGGCTGTTATTTGAAAGAAAAATGCAGATATTAAAGATTGATAATGAGAAATGGTCCTTTTTAAAAACTGTTTTCTTTTTCCATATTTTCTTTGTTTTGTTAAATTACAGATACTATTAAAAAAGAATATGCTTTGTTTTTTTTTTGTCAGTTATAATTTCTACTTAAAAAAATCTTTTGCCTAAATTGATTCTTACTGATATTTGCTGCTCTTACAAAGAGCAATTATTCATAACGACATAAGGATTAATAAATGGGTAATGATTTTTTAAAAATGTTATTTTCTTGATTTTCTGTGTTTTGTTAAATTGCAAATATATTGAGAAAAAAAAACTCTATGAAAACAGACCAAAGCTGTAAATAATGACCACAATAAAAAAAGTGCTTTTTAATTTTATTATTATTATTTTTACATTTGACAGAGAAATTACCTAATTTTCTACTGTATTTAAATAATCAGAAATATTATTATTTTATGAATATTTGCCATTATTCAAAAGAAATATTATGTGTTTTATATATATATATATATATATATTAGCAGATTTTCCCTGTTTTGTTAAATTACAAATAATATTTAGTAAAATCAAAGATAAACAGTACTAATGTACATGTTGGCATTTAGAATAAAGAAGTGAAAACTTTAAGTAATATCTCTTTAGTCATATATATGTATATGTATATATACATTTCTTTATCCTAAAAAGTTATTTCTTCTTTTTTGAGATTTGACTGTAAAACCTTTCTGTTTAATTCCACTAAAATGTTGTCATTTCACAAATACTGGCAATTATTTAAAAGAAAAATTATGTGTAATAATAATTCTTGTTATCAAATCAAAGAAAATTGTACTATTTTACATGTTGGCATAACAAAAAAAACAGTGAAAACTGTAACTAATGTCCCTAAAAATAAGTATTTTTTTCTTTTTTAAGGTTTGACTGTTAAATCTAAACAGTTGTTCTGTATTTAAATCCACTAAACATGTCGTTGTTGTACAGATGTTATCAGCGTTTTTACAGCTGTTGAACGCTGTAGTCTTTGGTGCGTTTTTTCTGGCACATTGTGTCCACGTTTTTTTAACGTTTTTTTTTAACGCATTTATTAAATACAGCGCACAGAGGCGGTCGGGTTTTGCGCGCAGCTCCGGTGCTTCGGCCGGTGTTCGGTTTGTCCCGCGGCCCTGAAGGCATCAGCGGCTGCGGGGGCGGAGTTTAGAAAAGCCCCGCCGTGAGTCATGATCGTCCTAAACGCTCCAGACAGCAGCGATGATCCCGCAGAGCCGCTCTGAGCCCGGACGGCAGCACCGAACCCGCTGGTAAACACCGTCAAACAACAGCCGCACCATGTCGGTACCGCCGCTGTGACTCCACCTCCCGCCGGCATCCATGGTCTATTTCCCGGGGATGCAAGCCGAGGCGCGCAGCGTCAAGCCCGGACAGCTGGTCGAGATGTTTGACTCGTCGTGGAGGGTGCGGAACATTTGGGACGGGGTGAGGCTGGAGGTGGTGGAGGACCGCAGCCCGGTGGTGCTGCACAGCTTCACCCACCTGGACCCGGACCTGCCGCTGCTGGAGGTGAGCGGAGCCGCGGAGCCCCGGTGGCTGCTGCTGCTGCTGCTGCTGCTGCCGGGGTGGTGTTGTGATGATCCGGTGCTCAGGCGGGGATTTCAGGGGGGATGCGGGGGATGCGACCCGAACAGTGTTTACAGCGTGTGCGTGCAAAAATAGAAAGACGCAAAGAATAGCTTCTGTTTGACTTTGAAAACGCGCTGTACATGTGCAAGGCTTCGTTTTTATTCACCATAGATTCGTGCACAAGAATTCAGCAGAACACAGAGAAGTGTCGAGTCATTGTGCCTGGGTTTTATATTTTCATCCTCAAACTGGTGCGTACATGCTCACCAGGATGCAGGAAAACTGATGCTTGGAGCTCAACGTTTCCACTTTTAGCTATTTTGGGATGGATCCGAGATAAAGCCAGGCTTTGAGCACTCAGGGTGTCTGATTTTGTGTTTTCGATCAATTCAAGTCAATATAAATGGATGCATACATTTTCACCAGGATGCAGAGATGTTGAGTCATTGTGCCAGAATTTAATGTTTCCAGCTATAAACTGGTGCATAAGATTTCACCAGAATGCTGGAAAGTAGATGTTTCATGCTCCAAATTTCCAATTTTAGCTCATTTTTTGGCATGGATCCAAGATGAAGTCCAGTTTTGAGGGTTCAGGGTGTCGAATTTTACTTCTACTAATTCTACTGTAAGTTTGTGCCTAAAATGACACCAGAATGCAGAAAAAAAAGTGTGTTTTATGCTCAGAATGTCTGCTTTTTGCCCATTATTTGTGAATCCAACATAAAAACAGGTTGTGAGTGTGGAATTTAGTGTTTTAAATCATAAGTTGGTGCATACATTTAGAGGAAAGTAGGTGTTTTATGCTCAAAATTTTCCACTTAGATCCCAGTTTACACTCTTGAAACAGTTTTTGGGGGTCCAGGGTGTCGGATTTTGTGTCTTCAGCTGTGAATTGTTGCACAGAAATTCAACATAATGCAGTGATGTACGTGTTGTGTCTTAGAATTTAGTGTTTTCCACCATAAATTGGTGCATAAAATTACACCAGAATGCAGGAAAATAAGTGTTTCATGCTCAAAATGTTCCACTTAGACCCCATTTGGTAACATTAGAACATGTTATGAGTATCCAAGGTGTAGAATTTTGAGTTTTCCGCCATAAATCGATGCTTAAATGACCCCAGAATGCAGGAAAGTAAGAGTTTCATGTCAGAAATGTTCCACTCAGACCCCATTTTTGCTCATTTTCGGGTGGATCCATAACTCAAACATGTTTTGACTGTTGGGGGACTCGATTCCAACCACATAACATACTTTCTTTTAAACAAATGACCCATAAAAACAGAGAGATAAACATTACATCACTCCTTCTAAGCCCTCCGTCTTGTCTTGTATACGTCAGCCGATGAAATGTGACATAATCCTTCATTACATATGGAGCCCATAAAGCCTCGTTGTGATCACACGGACACCGTTTAAACAGATTATAACTGTGAAATTGCTGAGTGGCTGGAAAGTCCAGGGAGTTTTTGGTGGTTGTGCAGCTTCGCGGATTCATCACGTGTCGATGAATGTAAGAAATCAAGTGAAATTGAAAGAAAGCGCCGCTGCTGCAAACGATATGGTTACAGGATGACTTGCTGTTTTTTTTTTTATTGTTGTTGAAGCTTTCACTCCTCCCTCTGCACACTCATCCGCTGACTGCATGCCAACTGAAACCTTCACGCTGCAACCGAGTCACACCTCGAGCCAAATTAGTAATTTTGAAGATTGATATTAGTCGTATTCGTCTTTGTGTTCATCAGATCGGCGTCGCGGTTCAGACAGAATACAGTAAATCAGTCGCATCCTCAACTGGAATTGCGTCTCGCTGCCGCAGAACAGTCATCGTGTGGTCGGTTAAATGTCAAAAAAATGCCAAAAAATATGCAGAAAAATTCCCCCAAATCAAGTTGACATATTCACATTGCTTGATTGGTCATATATTTATAGGTTGCCATCATAAAATACAAAACAACCTGTACATTTTCATACATTTCGCTGATAAAATTGCATTTCCTTACAAAATAGTCACTGATTAGTTTTGTATTGGTGCCTAATCGATTAATTTGCTGCTCTACTGTGCTACAAAAAAACGTTAATGCTGGTTTATTACACATTATATGTCTGTACAGTGGAGAAAATACACATATAAATCCACTGAGTTTGGAAAATTCTGAGTTTTAATTACAGAAAATGTTAATTTATTATCTTTCAATGTGTACATTATTCTCTGAAGTAATTGATTACCTCTAAAAATGTTTAGTAATAGTGTAAAATAACCATTTTAGACGCCAATTAACCGTCATAAGCAAATGTTTTGAGTTTAATTTCTTATGAAACTGAGCAAAGCAGCAGATATTTACATTTTAGTGGCTGTAACTTCTCAATTTTAGCATTTTTGCTTGAAGAAAATATCTGTAGTTGATTTATTTTCTGTTTCAGCTCGACTGGGGTTGAACTGTAAGGGCTTGTTCATTATATATACACAATAGATGTGTATAATTATGTTACATAAATGTGCCTTTAGTGCGAAAAATCAGTTTCAGCTGACGTAAATGCACATGTCCTGGAAATTCTCAGCACTACTTGTAACTGACATGTCGCATAGAGCTGCAGCTGACGATTATTATCAATTAATCTGTATTTATTTATTGTCTTGATTCAGTGGTTCATTGTGACAAAAGCACAATATACTGACTAAAAGCACAACCTGATGTATTTGCAGCACTTTTACTGTCAATTAACAGTGAAAACCCAAAGGAAATGTAGTTTAGCATCATTTAAGACTGAACAAAACTCGCAAATATTCCCATTTAAAAGGCTGGAACTATTGATTTTTGCTGAGTTTTCAGTTTGTTTTAGTGATTAATCATTCAACAGGAAAGCTTGTTGGTTCCAGCTCTGCTGTGATTGCTGGGGAGTCTTTGTGAGGGTTAGTGTCGCTGAACTGAGTGGATAGTTTGTCTTTAAAATGTAGAATTGTGTTTCCCAGTGTGTCACGTTTTGTCCACAACTCAAAGGTATTCAGTTTAGTGTCATAGAGGAGGAAAGAAACCAGAAAATATTCCATTTTGTGAAGCCGAAATCAGAGAATTTAGACTTTTAGTTGCAGATTAATTGAAAAGTTCACAGCTGTAATAGATTAATTGTTGCAGGTGTAGCACAAAACCTTTATTTCAAACTCTGTAATTCACCACATTATGCACATTTACTGTGTCTTACTCTGCAAAAACATGCAGTCGATAGTAACTATGGCTCTTTCTTCCTTATTTGTGGTTGTGTTTTGTATCTACGACACTTTTTTTATTTCCTCCTCTTTAGCCCGAAGATGAAGTTTGAAAAAAAAAAAAGTGCACGGTTGTCCAGGACACGTCTTATTTATAGATCAAAACAAAAGGAAATGTAGTTTAATGTCACGTAAGACTGAGAAAACTAGCAAATGTTCATATTTAAGACGCTTTGTGAGGGCTGCAGCTAGTGGTTATTGTCACTGTCAACACATTGATCAGATATTTTGTCTATAAAATGGTGAAAAATGTTGATTAGTGTTTCCTAGTGTGTCTTGTTTTGCACACAATCCGAAGATGTTTACTGTAATAAAGGGAAACAGGGTTTTGTAAAGCTGGAATTAGTAAATTTTGACTTTCAGTTGCCAATTAATTCCAACATTCACGGCTAATTGGTTAGTCGTTGCGACTCTGTAATTCATCGCTTTGTGCAAATGTGTTGTATCTTACACTGCAGTGGCTGTGTTTTATATCTATAATGTTGTTTTCTTTTTCCGTCCTCTTCCGCCCAGTTTGTACAAATGTCCTGTTTTCTGGATTACGTGCTCCAGTTTTGTCCCGAACATTCGATCGGATGAGGAGGGAGGATGACTAATCATATTTATTGCTCTTACATAAACCCCGGGGCGTCGTTATAGCTGATACCGCATGCAGACGACGTTCTCTGTTCCCGGATAAATGTTCTCCTCCTGACTTTCTGCTGTCATCGGTCGGACAAGTCGGTTATTAAACCCTCCTCGTCCTGTTCGGGTCCCTCGGCTCCGACCAGCTAGCCTGCTCCGTTCGCTCTCTCTGCTCTAATCTAATCCTCTCCTCTAACACAATTACCTAATGCCTAATCCCCCTCCTGCACAGGCCGAGGGGTTTCCTCACAATCGCCGCCTTTCTTCCCGCTGCCGCCGGTTATTTGATGCCGGGCTTCGGTTACACGTTTGAAGGGTCACCGCGGTTGGATTCGGTTATTTGTTGATCCCTCCGGCTCCACGTAACCCACGTCAGCCCGTATGCACTGTGTCATATAACTGAGAGGTACAGTTACAGCTGTGGAGAATGACTCTGCGACTTTTTCACATTGTTAAACTTAACAAAAGGTGTGAAAAGCTGTTAAAAAAAAAACAAAAAAACTGGGTCTACGTCGGTGTTTGGAAGCTGCACTTGTCCTCGTTTTTGAATTCATATCCCGACTAAACTGCTGCAGTCACTTTCCACCATTATTACAACTGAAAAGGAACATTTTTGGTATGTTTTTAATTAAACCTTATTAGTTTTTCTTATAAAATATCAAAAAACTTGCATGTTTTGTCAAAAAAAAACCAACAAATTGATCCATTAAAGGTGCAGTGGGCGATAAAGACGCACAAACTTGATTCTAATCGCGACCAAACATGTGCAGAAGCCTTTTTCAAAATTATTTATGTAAAATTTGGCTCAGTTGGTGTCATTTCAGGCTGCGGTGTTCTTGCATCGACTCAGACTTCGTTAAGAGTTTGCTTATTTGTTATTTCGGACCCAAAACTAAGTTCTGTAAAAATCTTGAGGCAGAAGTTTTAAGAATTTCATATTTTTTAGGACCGTTTTCGCTCAGTATCTCCGCAAATTTAACTCCCACAGCCATGAAAAGACAAAATAGTTCACAGCACATTGCCTACAAACGAGTCCACATCATCATCTT